TGTGAATACTCAGAATAAGATCTCTGACTGCAGACTGGATACATCTCGGAAGGGCTAGCCCGGAATAACATCTCTGGGCGCAAAATTGGATGACATCTCGGGGAGGCACACTGCCGTGAGTTCTCAGAAATCGGCTCCTTGAGCACAAGAAATGACAGCATCACAGAACGCAAGAATGGCGAAGCTCGCGGCTCTCCAACGGGAGATTGAGAGACCAGTGTTGGACTGTAGAACTGCTTTGAAATTCATATGAGCTGTTCGCACTAAAGTAAAAAAAATAACATCACTTCATGCGGATACCCTCTCGGCGCCAGCTGCAAGGCCGGAGATGAACAAAACACCCTGATAACGACTGTGTTTAGTCTGTTCCTTCCCATTCCATGCAAGGCCACCTGGGTTGGCTGGAAGACTGTTTACTTAGCCTGGCAGGGCGAAGGACACTGTCTCAGCTGAACTATGGACACACACACACATGCATATACTGATACTGATAAGCACTCACCGACGCATCACCCTCCCTACCCCGGATCCAACGCCACCTCCAACGCTTACCTCCCCTCTGATGTGGATATCGGGTCAGTTGGAGGCGCAGTCGAAAGATTGCAGCGGTCCCAGATCAAATGTACACACTGGAACTCTTTCCCATGTTGCTTGTCTGTGTTTATTGTGCTATGGTGTGTTGATATCTGTGCATTCCTGTATTATCCTTTTGTGTTACACATTTCGATGTTTTTTCCTTGCTATCTAGCCTGACCTGTCTCCCCAATGTGATGTTTGTGTATTGTATGTACGGTCGGCAAGGTCTGTCATCTCGGTTGTGGCCAAAAGACCTGCAACTGACAAATAAAGGCTATCTCATCTCTCATCTCATGCTGATGTGTAGGTCTCTTCCAAAATATTCATTTTATTTATGGAACTGATTTCAAAATGACTAAGCGCATTGAAGAAGAGATTTTAACTAATGATATTATAATGACACATCAAAAAATGAGTTTCTGTCACAAGTTTTCTTTCTTTAAATGGAAGTCTGTTGAAGACCAATAAAAAGGGTTAGAACTTGAATAAAATCACCATTGGGGTGAATTAATTTTTAATTTTTTGTTTCTTATAGATATTGAAACAGGTTAATTTCATCTTCCTCCACCTCATCCTTACATCTCCACTGGTGGTGGCAGAAGCAGCCCAGTGTGACTCTGAGGCCTGTACTTTTAAAGTAACTTTTTTTCTGATCGCTATAATAAACAGCAATGAACAACAGCTTGCTAAAGCATTTGTTTTTACACTCTGGAGATATAAGCTCCTACTAACATCTGTCACCAAAAGCAGGGCTTGTGGCAGACAGGAAGTGAACCCAGAATGCAGGACTTGACAGGCAAACTTAAAACCACAGCTTCTTAAATCTTGCAAAACAGTGGAGAAAAATAAAAGCAAAAACAGTAATAAAGAAGGATTGTGATAAACTGATGAGACAGAGACAGACTGGACTCGAAAGGGAAGCATAAAAAAAATCAAGGACTATAAATTTCAAACTCCAGGACACCAGAAAACAACATACTCATAAGCTACAGCATATATTATCATTTAATTTCAAAGCAACAAATAACAAGTCTAAAACCACAACTCAAAAAACTGAGCCAAGAGTTTAACAATGATGGAAGCTTGTTTCCACAGTCAACCCAACATTTATGGTTTAGTGTTAATGTTAGCGTTGGTTTGAGACTTACTAACTCGAAATGTTGAGAAAATAACTCAAAGCGATGGATGGAAATCATGAACCGGTTCTTGTAGAGAGCTGGTTCCCAATAGCCCAATTCCTTGGAATTGTTAGGTTCTAAAATCAGCTCATTAGAGTTTGTGTGTCAGAGAAGGAAAATAGTGATGCAATCTACAGCTGGAGATTAGAGAGGAGTGGACCCAAATGCAGACAATGGAGAGATAGGTGGAGGTAAACACAAGGCAAGCCTTTATTGGTGGCTGTAAAAGCAACAGTGAAAGGGGGACTGAAAACACTAATAAAACCTAGGCTGGGATCAGCTAAAGGAAGAAGTTAAACGTAGAAAACATAGCAAAACCTGACAACCGGGAACAAGGAGCCTGAGACATGAAATCATCAAGAGTAAAACACAAAGGTACGCAGAGTGAAACACTGGGACAACGGGGAAACAAAACCCAATGCACTGAACACAGGAAGCAAGACTCTCCAAAGTAAAACACGAAATACAAGACAGACACAGAGATGCAGACTCGACACTGAGACCCTGAAACATGAGACGCAGAACCAGAACAGATACCAGGAACAGAAAAGAACTGGGAACAATAAATATAATACAAACAGAAAACCACAATTCTCAGAAGAACTCAGAAGAACTCAGGTCTGTGACAGCGGCATGGATATGGACATTACAGTTAGTTTTATTGAACAAAAGGACAAGAGCACAGTGGTGAATTTTTAAACAATTTTATTTGTCACATACAGACTACAACATGTAGTGAAATGCTTGTGTCCGAGCTACGGACAGGCTGCAGATGTAGCTGCGCCATTCCAGGGCTTGGTTTCTGCAAGATACCAGGTGGGAATCAAACTACACAAAGGTGTGTAGTCTTACCACTACACTATCCAGCTGCCATTTACACCTGGGTGTACATGTACATCTTGGTTGACTGCTGCTTCTAAACATATGCATTATTATATTAGTACTGTATGCTGCTCAGTAACATTGAAAATGTATTATTTACTGTTACTGATGCTTATGTTGGTTGTTGTGGTTTGCTTACAGTGTTGTCTTCTTTTTTGCTTGTTTTTTTGTTTTTTTTTGTATCAGCAGGTGATTATCGAATTCGGTTCTTTAGAATTCTTTTAACGACAGAGAAAGACCCCGGACTCAGTGTGGTCAAGCTCAAAAAAAATCTTTATTGTACATTTCCGGAAACGGAGAGCTGTAGACACAAAGACGCACACACAGGTCTAAAAGCATTGCAAGCCAAAGGCGTATATATAGTTCTGCTATACGTCACACACAGTTTCGATCAAAACAACTCTGCTTAGTTTTTA